TCTGATTGAAGGCTAACTCTTCCACCACACAAGGTTATCAAGTCTTAAAGCTATACTTTTCATGGAAGCATAGACGTCTACATGGGTCTTCAGAAAGAACAAATACAAAGCAACTCAAGTACTGTGATGAGGGTAAATAAAATCCAAGTGTGCCAAAGAAACTAAGCAGGTCCTTTCCTGATTACCCACAGGCACTTGAAAAATTCTTTTTTATCTCTGGGGATCTCTTCCCAGATGGTAAAGTGGCTTTATGGATTTGGCCTTTCAACTGTCTCTCCAACTCATTTTCCTGTCTACACAGAGGAGATATCAGTGCCCAGGGGCTGGCAAACTGTTCCTTGGTCATAACTGAATTGTGCTGAATCAGATGAGAATCTTCACTACTGAAGATGCAGAAGACAAAGTGAGCTCCCATTGCTCCCCACTGGTATCTTTTGAGGTGGTAGCCCAGAGGACAGCTAAATAGAGTCATTGGATTCAGCTGACAAGCCCTCTTTGTGAACCACAAAGCAGCAGGGACAGTGCAGAGCTGCAGAGAACTGAGTACCAAGTGCTGCACTTGGCAGCTCTTGGGATCCTCATCCACATTGCAGCACAAAGAACTGGAGAGGGGTGTGGAGAGGGAGGTGCATGGCACCTGCCTGCTCCTCTGTTTCTTCTCCACCCCATCTGTAGTGAGAAGTGTGTTAGTAACATCTAAAATCATCATCTGCCAAGGGAGAAAACTGCCTTCCTCCTCCCCAGTACAGGTACTCGGCAGTGAGCCATTCAACTGATCGAGAGCAGGCAGAGTCATCAGGACTGTTCTGCAGCATTTTCCTGTGGTAGCACAAGCATCTCTGCAATACTCAGTAGAGACATTATTTCTGAATTAAACCCACACTAATTCAGCTCTATCAGACAGGACAAACTTCAAGAGCTGTATTCATTAAAAACTTTCCCCGAACATCTGTACTTAAAGATGCAGAAGATTGTCTTGTCAGTTGATGTCAGTGAAGCAAGATATCTGTTTCCAGAAGAGGTGCCCTGACACACAATACTGAGTCCTGAGGTGAGAATTACTTGATGAATTTCCATTAATTCAATAGAAATATTTGGATAGGCAGTACTTTCCCAGGGAAGTGTCCAGGTATCATTTTAATATAATCCTCAACCAGTCTACCCAGATCCAGCCAGTCAGTTCTGTGTTGGTTTCAGATGGCTGAAGGAAAGGATAGCCCAGGTGCCTTGTGGATTATGAGACAACAGGGGAAATCTATACCTATCCATTTAATGGCTCAAGGCACTCAAGGAGGGAAAACAAACACCTCATCTCTCCCCCAGCCACCCAACTAGCCAAGGAGGGAGCCACGCTGCACTCATACCTGAGGAACATTCACCCACTCAGCTCCAGCCTGGCTTACCATCACATGGGAGCAGGAGCAATAGGGGATAACAGACAGGGCATAACCCCAAAAGCTGGGAAGGGTAAAGTATCTAACACAAGATTTGACAGAGGCACGTAGAATAGGCAGGGAGAAGCAGCCTGACAGCAGGGTTGGGAACAGCTGTGGCTAGAGAAGGAGACGGGGAAATACTCGGTGCCTGGGAAAGGAGAAGGGTTGCATAGACTGTCATTGAAGAGGGGAAAGCCCACGGCTTCCAGGAGAAAGTATCAGAAAGTTATTGTAGTGGCAAAAGAGACCCAACAAGTGCATTTACAAATCACTGGTGGGCAGGGTAAAGCCTGGTGTCTGATTCTATTGAGCAATCAGAAATGCACTAATGGGGTCACATGCTGTGATTGCTTTGTATCCACCTCTCTCTCACAGCTAGAAACTTGCCAGCCTTCAGCTGAGACAATTCCCATTGAGATGGGCTTGATGTGGTACTCATTTCAAGCTCTCCTGAATGCACATCTCCTTCTCTTGGGATCAAAGATGACTTTCCACATTGGACACAATGCCCCTTCACCCTTCTTCCTGCACATAGGGCAGTTACTGCAGCTGCCCAGAGGAGACAATTGGGATCATCCCAGTCACCCAGGTCTATCTGGCTGTCTCAGCTCACTCCAGACTTTGGCGTGCCAGAGAGGTTGAAGAAGCAAAGCTTGAAGCAGGGCCTTGAAAATCTCTCCACAGGATGTTCTTCACAAGAGAGTAGTTAGGGTGTCCAAGGCATTCTTGGGAAATCCAATAGAATTAATAGATTTTGTGGGAAAAGAAAAAAAATTCAAGTCTGACGCAAGAGGTGGAGAAAACTAGTGGGTGAAAGTTGTGCAGATCAGCCACACAATAAGTGAGCCCATATAAAATAGAGGCTCCTTGGCAAAAGAGTCATAGGGCTGTGACAGTGCCTTTTTTATCCAGTGTAAGAGGGGACAGTCTTGCACAGTGCACTTTAGCTTTGCAAGGGAAGAAGGACTGGTCCAACTAGAAAAACAAGGAGGCTCTGGTGCGCTGGAATATCTCTTTCACCAGTGGCATTCAGTCAGATCTGCTTTTTCAGGAGAGCACAAAAGGAACTCTCAGAGCCAGTTGCAGGAAGCCACTCAAGGAGCAAAGACCTTTCATCATCTGTTCCTCAGTCCCCCCAGCTCCACCCCAGAAGACATTTTCCAGACTTTCCAGTCAGCCCTGAGATGTTGACTGGTACACCAGCTTCATCAGCTCTCTGGCATGATCTGGCTGCATTCCCTCCCACCTTCAATGAGATAAGAGTCAGGAATGTTGTTCACACAATGGGTGTTACTATTCAAATCTGGAAACCAAAGCAAACATCAAAACCTTTCCTGCCAATCCCAAGGAAGGCATTGTAGACTTCCCTATGGAAGCAAACACATTTTTCCTGGTGAAACATCAACTCTGAAAAGAGCTCCTTTCAGGGTTGTTCTGGAGCAAAATGAAGGAGGCTGCATCAGGGAAGGGATCGGAGAAGGCAGCACTTGTCAGGGAGTTGCACTAACTCAGGTAATTTGAATGCTTCTGATTATCAGAGATGATTCACTTCTGTTCACTTTGCACCAAGTGTTGAGAAAGACATTGCATTTATCTTCATTGACTCACTGTTTCACAACATGAGCTTAAGGTATCCTTAATACTATGACAATGGGAAGGCTTGGTCATCCATATCCTGACACTAGCCAGGGAAGGACTGCAAAGGATTTTGGTAAATCCAGACAAATCAGAAAATGTGATAAAGAACTCAACTATCTCCTCCTCTATTAAAGAGGTGGCATGAAAATCTGCAAAATAAAAATGCAGATGTTCTGAGACAAGAAATCAAGAGGATATGTGCGTCTGGAAAGATTGCCTTGATTTTAATCACCACAAAGTGAGTTTTGCTGTTATAAAATCAGACTTACAAGGAACATATTGTTTCTTTACTGTACCGAGTTGTTTTCAGTAAGCTTATGGACAATTGTCAATCTCACAAATCCTTGTTAGATGGAACATCTGGAGCTAAAATCACAAAAAGTCAAAAATTATGCCAGGGACCATTTACATAAGCTGACCTAAAATTAGAACGAAGAATTCATAAAATTTATGTGTTACTTATCAGGTACAATTAACACGCTCTGAAATAATGGTTCTTACTGCTCAACCAGTATTGGTATTTACTGTTACTACCATTAGAACTGCTCAACACCCAGAAAGGAGACGGGGTTTCTAAAGCATTGGCTTCCATTCAAGCATCTAAATTGATAGCCATGCTCAGAGGAAATCTGACTGCATTGGGGACTGTCTGAAAGAACCTCTTAGCTAAAATAAGTGTTTCTTTTCCAAAGGAGCCACATGTTTTAAAAAATGATGAGGGAATGGAATGGGAGGAAGGGATACAACTGTACTCGATGAAGCGTTATTCCTCAGACTTCTTCCCAGTCCTTGCCTTCCTTCCACCTCAGCAATGCACAATGTCTTCTTGGTCAGGGGGAACATTCCCTCTCCAAGGTCCTATATCACAAGGTTAAAAAGCTGCAATTATTAGGTAATAGTTGTAAAGCAGTAGCACCAAAGTGAACGCAGCTTGTGTAAGACTCTATACATGCAGATATGCACCAGAAGCTCATCATAGGAAATATGGTATGGTCCCCAGTGGGCAAAGAGGGTAGAAAGAAAACAAATGCATACAGATAAGAGGATAACTAAGATCTCTGAGGCCCTTAACAGTGGATTTGTGAAGAGGTGCTAGCACTGCCAGATCCCTACACAGCACCCTACTTTTGCAGAGCAATGAACACCGCAGCTCACAGTTTGTTGTGGACAAGTGACATGGCCCTAAATTAAATGATAGTGGGGAGCAAAGCATCGATTGTCCTATGAACTGGGCACCTGTGCATGGTTGCCAAACGGGGGGTAAGAGATATGCATCGGATTCTGATGAGTAAAACAAAAAAAAGATACAAGCACAATCACATGCTTATTGTTGTATAGAGATGAACTTTGTAATTAGCATGTGTGGGGTAGTGTCTCAAAGAGAAAACAAGAAAGGAAATTGCAATGTGTCTATTTATTTCCATAGCTACTGTATGACTGAGAGCCACTCATCAGCCTCTGCTATTTGTGGGAGGGTTTCCCAACAAAACATACCAAAGGCGCAGGAAAAGGGCTTGTGTGTTGTTTTCTCAACATACAGTCACAGCCCAACAGGTAGAGTTCCCCACCCTGTAAAGGAGAGGGTGTAAAAGAATGCTGTCCTTAGAGACAATGGCACATAAATCACAAAGCCAGGCTCAGGGCAGTGAAAGAGAACACACACAATTGATCAGTGATATAGGAGGAAGACGACATTATTGTCAATATCTACTTCACCACTGCAGGGATAGAGAGAGGTGACACACTAGAACACACAGAGGGGGAAGTGCTTGGTCTGCCAGGTGTGATCACAACTCTCATGCTATCCATTCTGCTCACCGTGGGGGCCAAGGGTACACCAGACACTTGTGGTCAAGAATGCGCTGTTCACATTAGTGACTGTTGTACTATCATACTTCATGGAAAGGCACAACGGTCCAAACTTACCAGTCTCTCAACCCTCTCGCTCAGGTCTCTAAACCTTCCTGAGGACTGTCTGGAAAATTCGTTATTGTACCGGATGTTGGTGAGTTTTACATTGGCACTGTAATAGAACAGCTGCTGATCTGTAAGGGAAAGAAGAGGAATAGGAAGTACTCGAAGGACCAAGATGAATGAACTTTAGAAAAACACCTGGGGCTGACTGATATCCAGACATCTAGGGAGTGATGAGCCTTCACCTCTATCCAACCCATTCAAATACAGCTTCCAAAAGCTAGGAGCCCAGGAGCAAGCACTCAATTGAGTTAGGTGATCAAAGCCCAGTTTCCCCAACAGTTACACTTGTGGCCAACCAACAGCACTTCAGGGCTCACACAAGATCACAAGCTTCATCTTCCTGCTGAGTAACCTTCCTTCCTGGCCTGCCAACTCAACACCAAGCCCTGGCAGGCAGCTGCTGGTGATCAGGAACAGGGAACAGCAAAACACCACAGACAGACATGCAGAAGGCTCTGTTGCTCATGTAAGGGAGACCAGAAGACTTATGTGTTGACTTAATCACAGAAGTAGATCATGAGAAAAATGTGAAACAAGTGAAAGCAAGTGAAAGCCAACAGAAACAACAGCCCTAAACCACCCTGCACAGCAGGAAGTGTTCCTAAGAGATCTGCAAAGATGCTAAGTGAGGAAGGAAAGACAGCTCTGGAGAAACCAGTATTTTTTCCCCAAGTGAGCTTTAGACAGACTGGTGAAAATTCCCAGCACAACAGGCGCAAAGGAAATGCACTAAGCATAGGCATGGTGATACATTATGTAAAACTTACCATATGCCAGAAAATAAACTAGGAGACCAATGGTGATAGCTGCTGCCACTGCTGTTCCAATAACAATTAGAGCAATTTTCCGGGGCTCAAGATGTCTTATTTTAATAGCTGACTGATGAATTCTAGGGAAAATTAGGAACAACAAAGGGAGAAGATTAATAAGATATTCTTTTCTATTTAACAACCCCTCCCCCCAAAAAAAGAAAAAAGAAGGTAAAGTTTTCTCCTTTGATGAGTCCATATCAGTTGATTCTTCCTAGCAATATTAATTGACTTCTCACCCTTCAACACCCTTGAAAATGAAACCATGACTCAAGACTATTTTGAAATAGATGTTGGGATGTGCTAGAAGTCAAAGAACACAGACAGGTTTGAGGGTTTGTTTTTTTTATTATTAGGGCCAAATTAAATAGGAGCCACACTAAGATTATTATGTGACTCCCAGCTGCTCAATCCATTCAAGCTGCTCAATCCACTTCAGCCTTCAAAGCAGAGCTGGACAAAAAAGAGAAAGAGATTTCAGAGGGCCAGCTTTTGCTTCCTGTTTTACTTAGATTGAATCTAAAAGCAAGAGGAAAGCACTGCTTCAAGTAGTATTTGCTGAAGTGATAGTATGACAGGGAAAGGCAAGGACATGTGAGCAGACACAGGTAGGAAACCTCACCAGATACTTCTCTCTGCTGTGCTCCTAATTACAGGTGCTAATCCTAATTAACTCAAGGAAAATCAATGGACAGTCAGTACTATAGTTAAACAAAAACTGTCTGAAAAAAGTTGGTTATAGCAAATTCTGCCTTTGTTTATAAACTCAAAGACACCTGAAGATCCTTAAAGCCAGTTTTTACTTTATTATGAGCCATTACAAAAAACACAGAAGAGGAAACAACAATTTTTGGTAATGAGTTCTTCATTCTAGAGTCAGATACCTCACTCATGCAGACATACCCACCTTCAGGTTAAGGTATAGCCTACCATTGGAAAGCAGGCTGCAGGGATCCTCTCCTGAGGCTGCAAGACACCTCAGTGAGTTCCCACAGACAAAGTACACGTAGCTCACTCCCAGAACATACATCTCATGAGCCATAAGTTTAAATACATTAAAATAAGTTGAAATAATTGCAAGCAACCACTGCAACTACGTGCAGGAAAAAGACAGCAAGCACGGTGTGCATGGTACATAAATACCAAAGCAGGTCCTGATATTTCATTCTAATTCCATTGCAATGCCTTACAATTACAGCCTTGTTACTGTGGCCTGGAAAACAACTGACTTAGGCCAAATATCATGATATTTGATTGAATGAGAATGGGAATAATAATTTCTCATCTCAGATCTGTTGAGACTTGTCCTGCTTCTCCTATCTAGTGTTTCCTTCCCTCCTGCTACCCTGTAAAACACCTAGTAACTTCCCGAGTTTGATTCAAAATGCATCTGTGAACCCATAAAAAAAAAGCAAATTAAATAGTCTTATTAAGAGTCCAGAGAAGAGCAACTCCAAAATTATTTCTCAGACTACTGTATGGAATTTGCCTTAAAATTTTAACTGCACCGCAGCAGGTGAGCCTGAAGAAATTACTGCCTATCATATCAGCAAAACAGCGGTTTCAGACCAGAAGTAATATGACGGGGACACAGTTAAATAGAGCACTATAAATTTGAAACATTTTCAGCATTCTTTTTTACATAGTGTAACATTTTTTTTATAACTCTTCTTCTTTATTTCTTCTTTCAAGTTCCATGTTATCATTTGTCAAAGAGAAACCCCAGTCTGCAACAGTTACTCACATGTGTAATTTTACTCACACATGTGACTTTCACTTAACTCATGAAACCTGTTTGAGAGCATCATTTCAAAGAGGTGCAGAGGGGTCTCAGCACCAGCTTCTAAACTGAATTTCCTCAAACAAGAAGCTGTTTGATAAATACATCTTAGAAAGTCACTTAATGGGGAGGGGGCATTACTGTTGGGGACCTGGATGTCTTTTTTCTTTTTGTTTTGTCTGAATAAACTTTCCCCCTTCTTTTTACACATAAGCGTGAAACACCTGTTAAATTTTATTCTCCACTCCTAATTTCTTTTAAAAACAAAAATTGGTTTTAAAAACAAAAGGTATTTTTGAGCAAAATATCCTTGATTAGGCTGTACCATCTGGATGCTTCCCCATTTGAATAGGCATGCTGCAGACCAGGAGGATTTCAAATCCAGGTTTTCAAAGATATCTGTGAGACAAACCCATAAAGATCATTGAACTGATACTTTTCCATTCCCATTAACTTTGAGCTTTATTGCTTCTTTGCTGTATCTCCTGAGGTTCGTTCCTCAAACATTAATTATTGTATCTGACAACATGTCCCACTGAGTAAAACTGAACAGTACTTACAGGGGTTCAGTACACACAAGAGAAGTAACCATGCCAGAACTGAAACAGTTTCAATCCATGTGATGACATGTCAGGGCTTGAATACTCTGCAGAGAGCTGATAAAGTTTAACAGTGGGAATTTATTTTCTCAGATCAAGAGTCTAACAATCCTTGTTAACTCCTTTGGAACTGTCTGCCTCCAAGAGAGGGAACAGGGAGTGTAGCCTAGAAATGCACAGTAGGATTAAAAACACACCATCTGGGGAGGTCACTGAAGTCCTCCAGAGTAGAAATGGAAATGAAAATTTTAAGCCTGAACCAAATACCTGAAGCTGAAAGCTTCCCACTGACTTCAGAGGGCTTTCTGCAGGGCTTTTCTGCCTGCAGCTTAAGTGGTCCTTCCCTCTTCCCCAGAAACTCTGCTCTTTCCCAGACAACCATGCCTGTGCAGTAATCTTAAACACACTGCAATCACAGACTGGATTTCATCTCTTGGCAGAAGACTGCCAAGTCCCAGATTAAGATTTGTCCTATGAGGAAGAGGAGTGAAATATTTGCTGACAGAGAGAAACAACAAAAAATGATATAAAATTGCTCACACTGCCATGACAATTTTGCTTGTTTGTCCTCTCTTTGTTTTCTAATAATTCCAAACACTGTCTTGGTTTTTCAACTGACTCATTCTCCTAGAAATACCCACTGAGACCTTTCCTGAACAGTAGTAGGTGATCTGGAGCCCTGCATTCCGTACTTGTGTTCCTTCCCATCACACACAGAGAAGACCTCCAGGAACCTTTTCCTTAACAAGGAGTTCACACCAACAAACACAGAGCCAGAGAGATCCCTCCTGTTATGCATTTTACAAGACAGGCGTAAGACGGACACAGTTTATGATGTCTGTCAATGTTTAGTAACAGAGGAGTATCAGGAGAAAAAAATCAAAGAAAAATTTAAAACCTTACCTAATATCCTAAGATTTTTTTTAAGGGTACCATTCAGTAAACAAATGATAAAGATTTCATTAAATAAATCATGCATGCACTTGCCTCCCTCCAACCTGAAACTGTTGTTTACAAAAGAAGTTAGTGTCTTTTACCTATTGGAATTTATATTCACTTCTTGCAAAGAAGCAGAATTACAACTGCCTTCTATGAGTCAAAATGCTTGCTTCAGAGGAAAAACCTCAAAGGTCCTCCTCACTGGGGCTGAAAGCACACTTGGACATCTGTGGAACCCCTCCATTACCTGCAGTGAGCTTCATATCAGAGACCATGTCTAGCTAAGTCAGCACGAACCAGGAAAGACAGCACAGGCTCTGCTTTGGCATACACGCACTTACAGTGTCTGCTCAAGAAAGGTGCTGACAGGACAGACAGCTGAAAAGCCAAGCCCAAAACAGTCACCTAGAGATGATCTCTTGTGGGCTATTATATGTCCTTTGTTTTTAGTCGTATAAGAGAGGCATACTTGGATTGACAAATTTTCTCCACTGTTTTAGAATACATGTAGCACCTCTCTCTTAAGGTGTTTTGAGAAAAAAAAAATTAGAAAAACCACTATCAACCTTAGCAATAATTGTAATATACAAGTACAGAAATAACAGGATAGTAATGTGTTTTAATTTGTTTACTTAAATTTGTTTACTGGTATATGAAAACTATACTGAACATCACTGTGAAGGAGTTCTGCAAGTCTGATACAACAGACCAGCCCTTCTGTGATCATCACAATTTGTGTGCAGCTGTGACAGCTTATGTCTACTCAGAATATGACCGAAAGTATCCAACTTCCCCTGTAGTTTAGAAGCTTACCTTTCTGGACAATAATACATTTTTTCTCTATTTTATACTTTATGTCCTAATTTCAACTGGGATACAGCTAATTTTCTTCACATGCAGTGCTGTGTTTTAGGCTTAATGTGAGAATAATGTCGATAACACACTGCTGATTTAGTTGTTGCTCAGTAGTGCTTATTGTAAGTCAAGGACTTTTCAGATTCCCATGCTCTGGCAGTGAGCAGGGGCAAAAGGAACTGAGAGGGAGCATGGCCGGACAGTTGACCTGAACTGGCCAAAGGAATATTCCATACCATAGAGCCTCATGCTCAGTACTGTTTTTTCCCCGAATCTCCTCCACACCCCACTGGGATGGGGGGTGGGGTGTGTGGGGGGGAGAGGGTGAGTGGCTGCATGTTACTTAATTTCTGGTTGGGGTTAAACCAGGATATATAATAAACAATTAATAGGCTGGGTAGATAAACAGTGAGATGCTGTAATCTAGCAACATATTTTCACAAATTTCTTCACGGGAAAAATGCTGCTGAAATTAGAGAAAGATCCTCAGACAAGTGGTTCAGCTGATACTGAAACCCCAGGCAATTGTCCAGCGGCAGAGAAATTGGAAAATTTCCATGTTCAGTTCTGTATAAAATCTGTCCCCCTGTCATCACCAAGTTTGTCCACAGACCACATGAAGCTTTCAGATTGTCTTGTATCAGAAGCATGTCAGACTAAGCCATCCTAAGCTTTGCGTTAGTATGGCTTAATTTAAAATGAAGATCTTTATTGTAATCAGAAACACAAACACAGAAGGAGTATGTGGTGGAAGCAGAATGCCTTGATTTTAAAATCTTATGCTGACCCAAAATGCTCAATCATAAAACCACCTGTGAAAAAATCAAAAAATGAAATACTTCTGAAACATTGTATAAGAGGAATAGCAGGTGCCAGAAAAGGGCATCCTACACTGGGGCTTGCTCAGTGAATGAACATGACTAGATTTTAAGGCTCAGGAGAAGATCTTGTCTCATTCTAGTTTTCCTGTCTAAAATGGGCAGAAACTGAGTGCATGTGGCAACAAAACACAAATGGAAGCAATTCTCTGAGTCAAATCAGGTGTGGAGCGTACCAGAATCAAAAGTATTTCTCTAGGGTTTCCTAAACTCGGGATGTACTCTGGGACAAACTGACAGAATAGGTTTCTGTTTGGCACCAGGCAGGAACCACATCTGCCTCCTACAATAATCAAAGTTAACTCCCATTAATACAAATGGTACATGAGTGTTCTTGCACCAGGGCTGGTATCTATTTCCTGCTACACCTCAACAGTCTGTAATTTGCATTCATATTGCCCACCTACTGCATGACAAATTGGTGCAAGTGGCACTGCATTTCCACATGCATATTCACTTTTAGACTACCATATACAGCACTAGCTACCCTGTACCTCACCCTGCCAGGGCACAAGATCTTCACAAGGAAGTTGCAGATAGGACATTGCACTTGCGTTCCAGACTGCAGGACACAGCACAACAGAGGGACAAGACCAGCAAGACTGTCTACTCCGCCCAGTTTTCCTTAGCAGCTTTGCTTCCTGAAGGATTTTAGGGAGCACACGTTCCAACTTAGCTTGAAATGTTCTGAAAAGAGGCATCTTGGAACTGGATAAAGCTAACAATGAAATACCCCTCTTATATGGGACTAAGGCAGAGGACGATGAGCTCAAACAGCAAGGCTTACAGCTCCACACTCAGATCCACATCCCTGCCCAGCAAAGATCTCTGGGCATCTAACAGACTACAAAGGGGCTTTGATTAAGACCAGGCAGTTTCCATCCCTTCCCAAACATGAAAGTATTTAACTATCCAACACAGATTTTTCATTAATGTACTTTAGATTTTATAATAATTTAAACAACCATTTAAACAATTAAATTCTTTCCTAACTAGGAGGTAAAGAAACTGTACTCAGATGTTGTTTAACTACCCTCTAGCACACTGGTATTAAAATTATTTACACCACTGTATACATCAACAAGACCTGGCAACTAGGTTTACCTCTAACTAGAAAACAACACGGCTTTTCAATTCTGTTAGGTACAGAACTCTTACTTAGTTTTCCCTCTTTATTTAACACGCACAAACTGGTATTCACAACTGATGGGGATTTCTTCGTCACCTGACAGTAAGAGCGGCATAACTTTTAATTTGTGGATATTAAACAGAGCAGGGGATCTTGCAGTATTGAGCAGGGTACCACTAGGGAACACAGAACAAAAAGCTGAAATCCATCGTCTCCTGGCAAAGATGACATTGTATTGACTAAAATTATATTGTTCCCACAAAATAAGAAAAAACACCGAAGTGTGCATCAATAATAACTTTTGTCCATCCAGAAACAATGTTTCTATTTCAGCATGCCCAGAAATTATTTAGAAAACCCAATTTTTAAAAATATTGAGGATGGAAAAAATAAGTAGTACCTTGCAATCCTCCGCAGCCATTTGCCCAAAGCAATGCCAGAGAGGAGAGTAATATTTTAATCTTTAACAATCCACAGAAAAATTCAGCCATCCAGCCAAATAATTAGGATGTTAAAAAAATATTTCAGATTCTTTGGGATTTTCTTTCCGAGGTCAAACTTTTAAGCTTCTTCAACTTCTGAGGCAACAACAAGAAAAAAACTCATGGGAGACTGAGTATCCCCATTACCATGTGAATCCAGAATCCAGTGTGTTGAACAGAAATGAATTCCAAGAGGTTTGCTGTGCACTTGTGACACAATCTCTGGTTTGACCCAACAGAGCATAGTAGAGTGTTGCAGCTGGAAGACTTATTTTTGTAAAAATACTCTGAACTTTTCAGCACTACCTTAATTATTTTTACAGTAAAACAAAACTATGGATGTCCAGCATCTCTGACTGCACAAAATACTTTCAGAAACAGAACACCTTGTAATTCATTACTCCTGAGAAATACAAGGGTCAAAACCAGAATGATGAACCCCTATAGTGTTCCCATCATGTGGTTGTGCTGCCATCACAGAATTGACTGGGATTTTTTGCAGGATTTGGGGGAAATGTTATGGCAACTAGACCTTATCAAAACCCATAATTTCCAAAAATCATGTTACTGCATTTGATTTTGACACAAAAGAGTTTCCTGGATTCTGCACTACTGCAATAAAAGCCTACTGGAGGCAGGATGAGATGGTCACAGGGAGGAAAGGTAAATGTCAACCTGAGCCATCACATCATCTTTCTAAGCGGACAGCAAATGTTTGTGCTCCTGGCCATGGTAGAGAAGGATTTCCCTTGGCATTTCTCACTCCAGCCACATGTTACTCTTTTCATCCAGTCCACAATCTCCAAAACCTCCCATTCAGCCTGCAGTTTACTGTTTAGCTTTCCCTCTAATGCCCCTTTTCGGGATGAACATTTCAGACAGATCCCTGATGTACCCTAGATCTAAGAAGAAGAAAGAGGTAGCGATAGAGCAATGAGCTCCAAAATCAGGCAAGAGAACAAACAGATTTCTCTTCTGTATATCTATGTCCTCGAAATCCTAAAGCTTTCCCATAGACAGTATCCTTTACCACCATTACACCTTCAAGTTAGACTAGCTGAGCTAAAATGTGCCACCTACTTTTGAAGGTCCCATGGTAGGTCCCGGTAGGTCTGGTAGCCTTTCTGACCGCCAACGAAGGCTTTGCTAAAGTCTGGTCTGCGCAGCGAATGGTGCTGGAAAATGCAGGAGTCGCATTGACTGGTGTGACGGGAAGGGAAAGGTGTTGAATGAAGATCCTTCATTGAGGCACAGCTGGCGCAACACCCAGCACCCTGTGGGTTATTGCAAAATGAGGGAACGAACTTCAGAATAAAAACAAACAGAGGTAAGCATGGAGTTGATAAGGAGACTGCAACCTTCAGATCAGCTCCACATCAAAGAGCTCCCCAGGCAGGCAGAGATGGAGTGAGCAGATAAACCGGCCCAAGTAAGAAGATTTGTTCTTCACTACAGTGGAACAGGAAGTGCGTGAGATCTCTCTTTTCCAGCACTCCCTTTCTGTCCAACTTTCTGTCTCCTGAGCAGCAGCACCTTCTACCATACACTCGCTGTAAAACCCACAGGGGAGAGGCACCACACTGGCCGCAACACTAAGTCACTTCTCTTCTGAGATAGCCAACACAAAAACAAATGTGGATGTAAATGGCTTGGTCAGCCAAGCCTCATCTACCTTGGTGCTCACTCATCCACAGCTGTTCTGGATTCCCTTGGCATCAGGGACAAGACAACTATAAGTATCCAGCCTCCTAATTACATGTTAGTCATTTAATGGTTGGCATAACCCCGCCTGTGAAAAATGCTTACTCTGTGAAAAGGGCCACCAATCTCCTTGGAATTCCCTTCTCCAAGCACAAATGTGTTTCTTCAGAGCCAGCTGGAAAGGGAAAAAGTAGAGATTCACTAGTGAGAAAACCTGCACTTGCATCTAAAATCCCAAACCAGAAAGTGAAATTACCAGAAACCAAACCTCTAGTTTCTGGTTTTTGATACACTTGCATTTGTGCCCAAAAGTTTGAAGCATTTGGTTTTCCAATGAAGTCTCAAGGTTTCAGTCATTTTTATGGGAACACTTACTATCTTCCAGAAACAACCTCATCATAAAGGGAGGGAATAAAAAAAATAAAAAGGCAAGAGGAAAATTTTACCTGATCATACCAAGTCCTTTTCCATCTTTCCCCAAAGATGCCCATTCACAGGCATTTCAATGCAATTTTATAAGCACTTGGGCAGACCATTTTGAGGACAATTAGAAAAGCTGATCACTGCTGCACAGCATCTGCTATTTCTCTAACCTTGATTTCTTGCTTTGCTTTGATCAAATTAATTGGATTTTTTGGCTTCTCCTCACTCCCTGTCGAAAGGGCATTGTTGCAGTTACCTACCTCACCTGGGGCTTTACTGACACACATACCTGTCAAGTACTAATGTTCTCCCTGGGCCTACCCCCCACCCTGTTATTTTCTTTTTCAAAATTAGTAAAACTCAAAAAAGATTATGCACAAAGGATTCCCTTCTCCACCCAGAAACACACACACCCCCAAAGGAACTTCAGCACTTGATGGAGTGTTGGAGATTGATTACAAACCACTTCAATGCAGGAGTCAAGAAAATACCTTAGAAATCTTTGGAGTTTTTTTCTTTTTTACACTGGGAAACACTGGAAAAAGATGGCGCTTGAAGCATTTACCCCATGAGATGCAGAGAATTGTTCCTGGTGTGAGCAGAAGTTCAATGGCCAACTCTAACCACCTGGGTCACCTAAAAAATATATTATAGGAGAAGTAGGTTTTATCAAACATCTAGATTTTGAGACAACAGTTACTCGAAATCTTGAGCCCTGAACAAGAATGAAAAGCATTCATTAGAATTGCAAAGGGTCTCAGGAAGAAGTGCTAGAGGAAAGGTCTTGGACAACAGAATGAACTGAATGAACTTCTGGTAACTTTCAGATCACACTAGGACAGACCTTCCTGTTACTACTCCAGGATATGAATAACTAAGGTATTACAAAGAAATTATTCCATTTTCTTACAAACAAGAATTTTTTGCAATCTGCCTAATAAAACTTTAAGTAGGTTGCTTTTGTTTTCAAATTAATTAACCAGTAAAATGAGCTGTCCTGCCAAACAGTGTGAAACAAGGAAATACACTTGCCTGGATCAGTGTTTTGCATCAGAATGCAAAATCAATTTACACATATGTGTCCCCCAGGAACAATGGTACAGATAGGCCAAGAAAAGATAATAATTAAGGAATAATTTTCCTAACAATAAATTATCAAGTCTCAAAGTGCTTGATATTAGGGTGTCATTCAGTAAGCTAGGTAATTACTAATCTTTTTGGTTAATACTAGGGAAGCAGTACGGAAACTAGCTATCAAAGTGTAGGGTGGAAATCTGAGAATGTGGGTGCACAGGATTTTGTGAATGAAAGTGTAAAAAGATGTAATGACCAGTCTCTCAGTTTAACCCTGCGAAGTCAGCCCAGCCGGTCAGACAGACTGCTTGCCTAAGAATGGTAATAATAGACTTCTTTCGTTTATGTTTGCATACTTACACAGGCTCACAGGCTGTGAAGACAAAGAATACCTTTAGAAAAGACCATTGGCCAGCCCCGTAGCAATAACATCTTCGGAATTTACAAGCAAAGATATTTTACATAATTGTCTACCAGTTACTCAACCCAGGCCACACATTTTAGACCAAAGACAACAGTCAGTCGTTACTTTTACAGTGAGAAGTGATTGTTCTTCCCAGTGATATTTTACAGAACTGACAGAAGTGCTGTTAAACAGCATGACCTTAAACAACCTGAAATAATTACAGCTACTTTGAGCAGGGGTTTTGACAAGGTGACCTCTGTACATCTCTTCCAATCTAAATTGCTTTGTGATTCTGTGAGCATCTGATAAGACAAAACTGGTACACTGCAATGAAATCTTTCCCTAGTCCACTCATTTTTCCATCAGCACACCTTGACAGCTCAGCCCTCCCTCTCTTGGCTTCAGGCCTCCCTCTCTTGAAAAACACAAACATGTCTTGCATTTGGCCTTCAAAATTCAGGGGAAGATCTGAATGAGCTACATTTCTTCATACTTTTTAACTTCAGCTGTGGACATGTTGCACAACTTTACTGTTTTGACAGAAAACGTTCGCCAGTTTATTGTTGCATGTTTTCCTTTACTATATGAAATGCCTAGCCAAGGCTCTTAATAACTGATGGCAGTTAATAACTGATAAGTAGAAAAACAAAACCAGAATATCCACTACAAGGATAGAATGATTCTCCAGAGCCAATGTAAGGGCTGGGAGAAAAGCCAAGTCCTTATCTTGAGCCTTGAAAAGTCTCTTGGGGCCAGATTTTATTACACGCCCGTGCAGCTTTGAGATACTGAACACGTGGAGGCTCTCAGATGCTATAGAAATGGCCTCAAGCTCTGAAGTATGCTAGATCCTGTCCTGGTTGCTTTCCAAATAGTCCCTCTTTCCAGGCCCTTGTAACAGAAACTGCTACACCCGTCTGAGTTGCAGCCAGGGATGCCAGCCCAAAATACCGGCAACACCCTTAGACAGTAGAAGTCCCCCACTACCAGAGTCATTAGAAAGGAATTCATAGCCTGTCACCCCGTTTGAGGCAAAAAGGTGGCACATGTGTGCCTGCCCCCTGCAGCTGCCCAGCCAGAGCTGCTGCTTGGTGCAGTGAAACAGGACAGCCTGCATTTTCTTCCATCAGGGTAACTACCCAGTCTCTACATCCACTGCACGAATCCTCTGCTCCCTGTCAAGGCACACACCATCTCCAAAGAGACAGTGACTGAGATACTTACATGACTTAGACTAGGCTACAAAGAACAAGGCCCATGAAAATAAAAGTAAATCCTTTACGGGCACAGATCAAATTAAACAAAGGAAGAGCAGTATTATTTTACACATCTGAAGTGCTCTGACTGGGAGCACTTAGACAGATCTCTGTGGAAAGCAGCATACACAAAACAAGGCTTTTCTTACATCTCTACATCCGCAGAAGATAGGTAGCTTGGATTTGATTTCATATTATTTGTTAGCAGCTAAGTTGCCTGGTGGAAGCCAAGTGGAGTCTGGCTCTTTGAGATACTTTCTGCCAGAGCTATTACCTGTTCTAATTTACTCTGCAGCAGCATACAAAATCCTACATGTGATTCAGTGGTCTCATGATTTATCATACACCGCATTAGCCTTCAAGACTTCATAGACTAAATCAGACATAGGAAAATCATGTTCAAGATCTCCATCCTGCAGCTGTTTTGACTCTGGCTGTCCTTTCAGACACAGTTCAGGAGATTAGTCACTGAAAAATGCAGCATGCATCAGGCAGGACTGCACAGTACCAAATGAGGGTCTCGCTTGGTTTGCTGCCTCCCTGTGAGACCTTCTGGCTGAGCTCGCTCTCAGGTAACCTATTTTCTGCCTAGGTGGCAGAGAATGGATTGTTTTCCCTTCCATGCCCTACAGGGCCAGGCAAGTTTGGGGTAACAGCGCTGGGTATGGCATCTAAGGGTCAAGCATGAAGATGACCTGGTGTCATCTTTTTTGGGTTCTTTGGGTTGTCTCCTCTAGCTCAGGGTATGGTACAGTTTGTACCAAGATTCCCAACCTGACAGGAAAGGAACAAGAAGAAATCTGATCAGTGTCTTCGATCCACAAGAATCATCAGGAATTGTCAAAATGGGAGATCAAAGCAAGAAGCAGCTGCATGCCACTGCAAACCTTCCATCCTATCAAATTCTCAGAATTACTTTTGCTCTTTGCTATCTTGTTTTCAAGAAGGTTGACGAGCTCAGAAAACAGACCCACGATACCAACAATACCTGACAATTTACCTTTCCAGTCTACTTTTCCACAGGACAAAGCTCTGGCTTTGGTATTGCAGTTAAGCAGACGAAACCTGCTCAGCCCCTTGCTCTCACAGCCATAGCCCATAGTACGTATTTAACGTACTTAAAGGAGAGCATTTGATGCCAGCTTTCTGATGGGAGAAAAGGCTGAAACTCACCCAGTGCTGCAGATGCCTATGCTTAAAACTGAATGGCTGTAGCCCCCCTAGACTTTGCAAGAAGATTGTATGGCATCTCTGCATCTTCAAGGCAGCAGGACATAGTGCCTTGTCCTTCCTCTCCTCTCTACTTAGCTGAGAAAGCACCACCAGCAGCCAAGAGCTTAAGGTTCTTGTACAATACGATTCACCCTCTAGTGGATGACATGGGACCTATTTACCTCCACATAAATTT